TGTTTTCCAGAGTGGCTGCACCAGCTTGCATTCCCATGCTGTTTTGATACTAGTAGAAAATTTCTAGTTTGCGAACAGAGTAGGCTTTATTTCATTGTTATTATTTTTAAAATTGCAGCCTGGTTATATATGGATTTCTGACCTATTATTGAAAATCTTTGGACATGGTTGGCCTTGGACACTATTAATGTATGTTTGAGAATGTTAAAAAATTGAGAGATTGGTTTTTATTATAATTTTGAACAGAGCACTGAAAAGATTTGGTATTGTGATTAAACCTTGAAAAAAGTAAGGTAATGAAAACCTTGAAAGAAGCAAGGTAATGTTGGAAAGATAGAAATAATAATACTAGCTGTCTGTTATTGAGATTTTTGCCATATATTGGTCCCTGTACTTGACTTTGTCTTTACTATAGGTGTTACTAGTCAACTTTACAGGAAAAAAAGGCAAGGTTATAGGTAAGTAATTTGCCCAAACTCATATTGCTAGTTAGGAGTGAACTGTGAATTTAAGCCTGGTTTCTCACCCTGTAAAGTCTTTGTTACATGCTTATACTACCTGGAGACTGCTTGAGTTCAAATCTTGGTTCCGCCACTTACTAGCTGTGTGACCCTGGACAAATGTCTTAACTTCCCTGTGCCATAGTGTTTCTCATTTGTAAAATGGGAAGGATAATACCACTTAACCTCATATGGTTGTTGAGACTGTTAACAGAGTTAATGTGTATCAAGTCCTTAGAACTGTTGCTGCTGCTCTATATATGTTAGCTTTCATGTCTTAAAGGATGTGCTGAAGTGGATGCCATTCAGAGACATACTAAAATAGACAGTGTCTCAGTTGTGGTCCTGTATGGTTTCTAATTGAGCTTTTCTGGGTCATTTTCTACAGCTGGGAAGGAAGAGGATTACCTCTATTATACATTAAGCTTTTAAAAGTCATGTCCTTTTCTATTGCAGTTGTTTTGTTTTCTTCTTTCTTAACCATATTCAGTGTGGTACAGCACAGGCATTTTGCTGTTTTATAGTGTGCAAACTATTTAATTATGTTCCAAAGGAACCCCAAGGTGTACACTTTGTGGAGGAGGTGAGTTTAGGATAGGATTAACCTGTTGCCCTTGCATAATGTGAACCTATTTAAGGCATTTACCGTTTATTTGCTTTCAAGATGGGGCTATGTTTGAAACCCATCCTTGGTATCTATGGTAGGCAGTTTAAAGGACCCCTTGAAGATATCCATGTCTGAATCCCCCAAACCTGTGAATATATTAGCTTACATGGCCCAAGGGTCTTTGTTAATATGATTAAATTAAGGATCTTCAGCTGGGAAGACCATCCTCATCAAG